CCCCTCACAAATACCATGCCCCCCCTCCCCGTTTCAATGGCAGCCGAAGCAGCAGCAAAGCAGAGGCTGACATTACCACTGTCGTCTTCTAGATTGTGTCTCAATTTCTCAGTCCAGCCTAAAGGCCTGGACTTCCTTGGTGGTGTTCTACCGGTCAAATATTAATAAGGTCTCATTCGATTTTGGTTTTCCAGGGTAAGTTAAGCTTGGTGGAAGGCCACATAGCTAGTCAATTAGGACCAAATTTGAAAATTCAGCATTCACTCACAGTCATTGTCTACCTTGTTGTATGGCATTCGGATATCTTCCAGTAATGCTAAAATTTGGGGAAGTTTATGATCTAGTTCATAAAACTAGAGAACCAGCTTGGTCTAGGGTTTAATGCACCAGGCTAGAAAGTGGGAGATCATGAGTTCTAGTCCTGCCTTAGCCATGAAAACATGTTGGGTGACTTTGGGCCAATCACCAGTAGATGGTGAGTTCTAGTCCTGCCTTATCTAAGAAAGACAGCTGATTTTGGGCCAGTCACACTCTCTCAGCCCAATTCACCTCACAGGGTTATTGTTATGGGTAAAACAGACAGAAGGTGTGTTGATATGTTTGCTGCCTTGAGTTATTCGTAAATATAAAAATGGTGGGATACTGACGAAAGAAAGAAAATTCTTTCTGCAAATAACTATGGCCACTTTGAAGATTGCCTCTTCAATAATATATTAAAAAAGCAATTTCCTAGATAGATTCCCCCCTCCTCTTTATTCACAAATACTTTCATTCTTCTGGTAGTGTGTTGCTTCACACTAATTCTGAATAATTGTTTATGTCTGTTCATCTTTCTGAATGGTCTGTTATTCTAAAGCTGTTGTAGTTGATCAAAGGGGGATCAAGACATTATCAGCCAACTGGATAAATATTTCAGAGCTGCACCCTCCCAAAGGAAGCAAGCAGAATATCCAAGTAAGGTAACATGAGCTGTGACATATGGCAAGGAGAAAGGAAGGGAAATATATATAAAATACCAGCATTGCTATTACGGTGAAATGAGAAACCTAGAATCCTGAATTATTCATAGTGATGATCTAATTGCTAATGTGAAGATAGGTTTTGCTAACCTCCTACAATATGCCAAACATCCTTGGTTTGTGTTTAACTCAGACTCAGGTGTTTATGTACTAAGACCAAGGATGAAGTTGCTTCTTGTGATTCAAAAAGGAAAAGAAAAGAATGATGGCATTAGGATGAGGGGTTGGCATACACATATTCAAAGGTTTATGAATTAAAGCATAATTTTGGCTTTGGGTCCCATTCCCTGACTTCAAGATGACTTTTCAATTCAGTGTAAGCTTTTCATCTAACCTTGTGGTTAAAGCAATGAGGATCAGCATGGAGGCCCAGTGTTGAAGACACTTGCCTCCCACTTGGAAGGTTGATAATTCAATCCTAGGTAGCAGCAGAGGTTTCTCTCCAATGAAGGAGAATATTTGTAGTTCAGGGTTGAAATGCGGAGTCTTTGGTGCTCTCTGAGCTTGTTTGTTTTCTTGCAAATGTTTCATTATCTTAACTAGGTAACATCATCAGTGCTAGCAAATGTTTTATTGCCATAACCTAGTTAGGGCAATGAAACATTTTCAAGAAAACAAGGAAGCTCAGAAAGCACCAAGGACCTCTCAGATGTTTCTCTCCTTGGGAGCAAAGAAGAAAAATGTCTGCTGTGAACTTCATGTAGGCATCAGGAAGGGCATCTGGCCAGTAAACACAGTCGCCCTGACTCTATGCTGAATTAAGGGATTACAGGGTCATAAAAAGGAAGTTTTTAAATATTGTAGTTAAAGTAATAGTAGACTCATTAGGCAAATGGGACCTTAAAAATGTCCATAGTCATCTGTAGAGATGTTGTAGCTTGTATTGGCTACACTTACTAGAAATATTTTTTCATTAGGAGCATCACAGTGATTGAATGAAATGTTGGTGGTCCAAAGACTAAATTAAAGTGTTTTTGTGCAAGTGTTTTAGTGGTCCAGAAATTAATCAAATTCAATGCAGAGATTCGCTCCCAAAGAATCACAGTATCTCAGGCAAATAAGAAAATTTTTTGGAATGTTTATGAACATCCGAATTAGACCCACTTTGCACAACTCTGATACTAATGAAAAACTGCATGGATCAAGCATTGGACTAATGAAAAATCCAATTTTACATGATTAGGCTCTGGATTTAATGTGTCCAAGACCTTCTTTTTAATGATAGCTTCTATGGGAGACAGAAGATATTTTCTCTTTGGTCAAGGATTAAAATAATTGGCATATTTCTTCATTAAAAAATGGGGGATGAACCCCAGAGGTTTGAATGTGAAAGAAAGTAAAATGGGTAATTCATCTCTCCTTAGGGCTATGGTGGTCAGTTTGCTTTCTGCTTATTTGTTTACATATTTATCATTTTTATATACCCCCACAATCTTACAAGGACTCTTGTCTGCTGAGAAAAAATAAATTAACCACAGTTCCTGAAGTGACTGTAAAAGGCTCTGTGTGCATTCTTGCAAACCAAATTGGAATTAACAAGAGCTCTGATTAGAAGTTAATTGACCCCAAAACTACTGAAGTTCTTAGAAGATTTCCAGTAGCAGTTCCTCCTTTGGAAAAGAAAACCCAAGCTGTTGGATGTCATGTAAATGGGCTATTAAAATCCTTTATTCCCCAGAGGATGAAAATGTTGGCAAGATCATCAGTGAGTAGCAGGACATTTCTGCCTATTTTCTTGGTTGCATTGCATCTTCGTGAAATATTTGTACTTTGCATGAAAAAGATAGAGATACATTTTTGGTATCTCTAGCTAGGTATGAGACAATCCTTAGAGTACATGGACCCAGCATCATCTGATTTGGAATGTGATCATTTTTGTTGCTACACTTTTCTTGAAAAACATCTTTCTCGTAGTCCCAAAGAAGCTTCTTGGATGAAAAGTGAAACGTCTTTAAGGAAAAACAAAGAACATCCAGTTGCTTTTTGAAAAAGCATCTTTGGGACAACCATGGCATGGATGACTGAGAACCTCCATAGATAACCTTCCTGTAGGTTGTCCATCTCCAGTGGAGGGTTCCGGAATCTGTTGCAACCAGTACGGTTGCAATGGGGCCTGGTGTCTATCACATGAACGCACACAGCGGGCGCACACGCGTGTAGCATTCACATGTGTCCTTACCTCTTGCGACGCCTCTGGGAGCCTCCGCAATGCTCCAGCTGCTCAGCAGAGTGTCGCAGAGGAGCCGTGCACTCCATGCACCGAAGCACCAAAGAGCTCAAATACAGATAAGGAGCTCAAGCGGGTG